TACTTTCCTCACCTTTTAACAATAAAAACAGAATTCCTCCCTCCTTGTCGTCTTAGTGAAAGGGAAAGGTGTGTTTTCAGAGTTAAGACAGAGACTTCTTTAGGGATTTTTTTTTAGTCTGCTAATTTAGTTAGTTCATTCTTTCATCCTGGGGCTGCTGCTGGGCAGTGGGAGTGATGCTGGGCAGTGGCCATCCATCTCTGTTCACAGCAGAACCAAGTCTTGATGCTTGAGCAGGGCTTGAAAGTGTTCAGTTTTTTTCCCCCTTTTGTCTCACCAGGTCACTCTCTTGTCCCTTCTGCTGTTTTGTACACTGATAACTGGAGTTAGAAATCTGAGTGCATCCCCTTGAGAAGCTTTGTCTTTCCTGGAATACTGGAATGCTGAATGGCAGCATCCCCAGAAACAAGAGCTGGTCTGTAACTGAGCCTAGGGGCAATATGTGCAACTCCCCTAGTCAACATCTTTGAACTAAGGTATTATATGGAAATCACTGAGCAAAGATGGGTTTATTATTAAATGCACTGTGCTTGCAGGGATGAGCCATAATTGTATCTGCTGACGGATATAATCCCTTTTACAGGGAAAAGAAACACATTTCCAGGCCTGACATACCTCCTTTGGGTTTGGCGTTGCAGCCTTAGCACCAAGGAAGCGATTTCTTGAGAGAGGAAAAAACAACTGAGAAATTACACTTGTGTGTAATCCTTTCTAATGTTGGAGGACAGCAGCTCTGCACACCTCGCTGGTTCTTTCAGAGGCTTGCTGGGATGTGGTGGCCATTCTGCTCTGTGTGAAAATTCATTTCTTCAGGAGGTGGAGGATAGGTCTTGCCCTAAAGTAATGCCATCAGCCTGGAAGAAATAAAACCCATCAACTGTATGCTAAAGTCTTAATTAATGACTAATGATTTTGCTAAATGTAATTAATCTAAATAATTATCATTCTAACTCTCTCTATCTTCTCCTATTTTTCCTTAGTCTTTTGTTTGGGACCTTGCAGATCTCACATGAAATATCTGTGGTTTTTAGCCTGGCACAAATCCTCTGAAAACAAGTGCAAACATGTTTATTCTTCAGGTTTTTAGCCAGGTGGCCTCCAAGGCCCTTGCTCCCACTGCCCACCATGCCAGTCTTCAGCTGCTGGGAAGGGACTTGCATGTCTGGCTTGCAAGTCACCCACCTTGTGCTTCCCTACCCCTCTTTCTAAGGAAGTGAAAACCTGGGGATGAGTCCAGTTACCTCGTTCACAGGGTGCAGCACATGGGGCCATGATGAGCCCCCAAGCCCCTGTGGTTACCTCTGCACGTCTCCTGCAGAGTTGCCGTCCTGCTGGGGCTGTGGTTTTCCTGCTGCGGGGGATGCCTGCCTGCCTGTCCCTGCCCCTTGGGATGCCTTCATCATGGACCTGCAAATCCAGTATAACCCATGTGCCACTAGGCTGTTTTTCCTGGTATGGGGTGTTTTCCTCTGCCTGGATGATGATTCCTGGGACATGCACAGGCCGGCCTGGGCCCATGGACTCCCTGCTGGCGCCAGCCCTGGGCTACAGCAGCAGAACACAGGCTCAGGCTCTTGTGCAGCACATTGTGAGGCTGCAGCAGGGCTGGTTTTCTATCCCTGCCTTGGAACCTGTTGTTTGCCATTGTTTGCAATCTCAGCATCAATAAGCAGAGGCAAATGGAGTTACCCTCTAAAGGCAAACAATAAACATTTTCAATAACCCCTCTTCAGGTATTTCCTTTTGTTTAAAAGCTGCATTTCAGTAGCACCTTCTGCTGCTGTTACAACCTCTAAGCTGTTTTCCAGAGCACTTTCCATAACTGCTGTCAAGTTTGGTGATGGATCTGCAAGGGAGGGCTTCTGAACTGGACACTGCCAAGCCTAGGCTTCCATCCTCCACTTCCTCTTCCTGCTGCCCCAGCAGTGCCCAGTGCTCTTCCCTATGCCTGTGATATCACCATGCGGGACAGCAGATTCAGGAAAGAGGAGCTGGTCCTGACTAGAGAGGAAGGGAATCACATGAACACAAAGAAACAGAAGTATATGCTGACAAAGATTATTTTTAGAGGTTTCCATGGACTGTTACAGACACATAACCAGGACCTGGCTGTCCTGGAGCATGAGGTCTACTTGCAGCCAGTGCTGTCTGCCTTTATGAACTTTTCTGATTCACTCTTAGAGTCTAGCAGTGATTATCTGCACTGGAAAGTTAATTTGCAGTAAGATAAAGAGCAGCTGAGAGCATGTTTGTTCTTCCAAAATAGCCACGCAGATTAAACCAGGTAGGAGCAAGGATGAGGTTTGTCTCCAAATTTTTTTTGGTGCCAAGTGTCGGTACCGAGAGGCTACATCCCACAGGGTCCTTGAGCTCTTCCGTGCACCAGGTAACCCTCCAGGAGGGCTTCCTCCCCACCCCTTCCCCCCACACCTTAACTAAAGAAGGGCACTTAATGCCTTAAATGTGGTGCCAATAGTAATTTAATTATGTATTTCTGGGGAACCCAGTCATGACTTGATACGTTATCTGAAGAGATGCTGTGAACAGTTGGCAGTGAGTTGCTGCACACCTTCTGCCACGCAGGAGATGCACAGGGCCTCTTGCTGTAGCTAAGAATAGCAGTGGTATCCACCTGAACCCAAACCTCATCCTGAGGTTTCATTAAAGGCCTCTGTAAGTCTTTGATTCTTTTCCAGAAGGGAAACTCTTTTAAATTACTAAGTTGTTAGCATTAAAGTTACCCCTATAAATGACTGTTTGGCATCCATTGATGCTATTTTTGGTACAGATATTCTCCAAAACATGTAAGATCCAGTCAAAAGGATATCTTGCTCTGCCCAATCACACTTTGTTTTCTTTAACTGACTCAAATTTTCCAGTTTCTTTGCTTGCCCTTTATTTTTTAACTCTTTGATTGGTATCCACTTAAAAAAAATTAGTTAAAATTCAACATCACTTGTAAGCTGAGAGCTGGAAGGACTGAATGCTGCCTACTTAGGTCGTCCTTGCCAATGAGCACTCTGCTATTCACAGATGATAATACAGTAAATATGAGGGAAGCAGTATTATACCTCCTGTGAAAGGATTTTTCTGTTCAGGTGCTGTCATTTATATGGCATTAATTGGTGAGTTGGTGCCCATAAAGGTAATATTATTTTATTCAATTTATGATCTCCACACGTGCCTGGTTATGGGGGTTTTTGGTTGAGCAGCCCTCACATGTTTCACTACTGAATACACCTGGGTTTCTTTTGATAATTTTTTATGTTGCTGAGTTTCAACTTTCATGCAGCTGAGCTGCTCATAATCAGAGTCTTATTCTGCTCCTTAATACACAAATAGAGACACATGGTGCTGGCCTTGAGGAATCTCCAGAGGAAACTCCACACAGCAATTTTGAGTAGGAACCCAAATGCAAGTGCAGGTGCAAATAAATCAGGAATCAGGTGTAGCCTCATGGCCTGGCTCCACTGACACCTAAAGGATGGATAAAACCATTGAAGGTATCTCCATTACTTCTCAGCAAAGAAAAGAGTTTCTTCTTATTTCCCCTACTGGGAATGTTTTCTTAGTGCTGCTTTCCAATCAGGATGATGCTGTTCGGGGACAGACAGCACAGTCATCACACAGGTATCTGGTTCCCATGTGCCACCTCATTAGGAGAGCTTAACTACCAGGACCCAGCTGGACAATCCTGTGTTGCCAGAATTCTAGGCTGTGAAGTTTGCTGCTTGAAAGAGCACCAGGTAGAGTTGATGAAACAAAATTAAATGGGAGTGTTCAATGTAAATGAGGACCAATATGAGTCAAGACTATATATATATATTTTCCTAATTAGAGGAAGTTCTGTTTCCTTCCTCTACAGATAGTTTTCCATCAGTCTCTGGCTCTAGATGAGAAAGCAGCAGGAAAGTGCAAATGCTTCAAGACTGCTTTAATAACCTTGCTAAACTGCAAGGAGAGAAGAAAGAGACAGAGCTGAGGAAAACCTGCCATCAGATTTCCCAACTGACTTTCCACACTTGAAAGTGTCAGATGGACTCCTGATCTTTCAGACATTCAGCACGGCTGAACTTCCAGACCTCCTGAGATGCCTCCTCATTGCTATTTTCCTCCTCTCTCTGTTTCCCTTTGGAAATGCATTAATTTCTCGCAGACCCAACCTTTATTGTTTCCATGACAGATCCTTTCCACGTATGATGAAATGATGGTGTCATGTTGATTAATATTTTCTTCCTCTTCTGTTCCTCCTTTTTGCAGGCCAGATGATGTGATGCTGAAGCGCACCCATGATGAGACTGTCATCTTGCACTGCTTCCTCTGGCCTCTGGTTACATTCCTGGTTGGAGTCCTCATCGTGGTCCTGACCATCTGTGCCAAGAGCTTGGCTATCAGGGCAGAGGCAATAAAAAAGAAGAAGCATTTGTAAACAGCAAGTTTGCTGCTGATGGGAACCAAAAGGCTGCAAGAAGATCTCAAGTGAGGCATCTTGACACACCTGCAGGGCTGGAGGGCACCCAGCTGCACCTCCTTCCAGTGTCTCATCTGATGGTGGAGTTGCTCTTGCCTCAGGATTATTCTTGGGAGACTGCCCCATGAAATGTCAGCTAATTGCTTCTTCTGCCATGACAGCAAATAAGAATATTCTACCAAAAAATAAAGTCTAGACTGCACCAAATATGCTCTGTGCTGGTGGCCCCCAACAGCAGCTACCCAGGTCCTCAAGAGACAGTTTATGAAACACCCTGATGTTGCTCATTTCATCTCCACAAAATGGTCTTTACTATTATTTACTATTCAACATTTAAAATATTTACTTTATGATAGACTGTATTTCCAAAATAACAAAGTTTGGTAGTTTTAGGTAGGTTTTTTTTAACCTTTGTTTTGAGTCTTTTTTTTTTTCTTTTTTTTTTTTTTTTAGTAAAAAAAATAACACTGTGCTAATTTGAGGTTTTTCCACTGTGTAGAACTTCATTTTAAAATTAAAAATTTAACTTTCGTCTCAACAAAAACCTTTTACCATCACCCCACCTGTTTATTGTGAAGAAATGTAGCAATTTCTCAGAAACATTTCTCAAAAAAAAAAAATATTAATGGAGCAATTATAGGAAAGGATGATTAAATACTGGATCTAATTGTATTGCCTTGGTGGTGTTCAGTCCCTACAGTTTTACTTGTCCTCTTTCCGTTACCCTTTTCACCAAAGTGCTCTCAGGCTGGATGCAGCAGGGGTGTGATTTTACTACCAATGTTCCCAAATAGTGGGGTGCCTGGGCGTGTGCTAAGGGGACCTGTGAGCTGTGGTGCCACATAGGTCACCAGGCTCCAGAGGTGGCTGGGGAAGGACATCAAATCCCTGAGGGGCTGTGAGAGTTCCCTGCTGAGCTGCCAACCCCGTTCATGGCAGCTCTAGGCAGGGTCTCTCCAAGGGGAATGCTCCTGGAAATGGAAGGCAGGCTGGGCACAGCATCTCACTGGATCTTTCTCTCTGCCTTTCCGTGCAAATCGCTGCATATATCCCTCAGCACAAGAGTACAGACCTGTTGGAGAGGGTCCAGGGAAGGGCCATCATGATGATCAAAGGCCTGAAGCACCTCTGCTATGAAGACAGGCTAAGAGACCTGGGGCTGTTCAGCCTGGAGAAGAGAAGGCTCTAGGGAGACCTCATAGCAGCCTTCCAGTACCTGAAGGGCCTACAAGAAAGCTGGGGAGGGGCTTTTCACCAGAGAAGACAGTGATAGGACAAGGGGTAATGCTTTTAAACTGAGAGAGGGGAGATTCGGGTTAGATATTAGAAAGAAATTCTTTGCTATAAGGGTGGTGAGGAACTGGAATGGGTTGCCCAGGAGGTTTGCTGATGCCCCATCCCTGGAGGTTTTTAAGGTCAGGTTAGATGAGGTTTTGTGCAACCTGGTCTAGTGGTTCCCTGCTCATGGCAGGGGGGTTGGAACTTGATGATCTTTAAGGTCCCTTCCAACCTTAATGATTCTATGATGGGAATGCTGGCCAGGAGTGCTAACCCTCATCCGCTTGCTAAGTGCAAAGATTTCTATGTGTCTGGTAGTTTCCTCAAGCACATCTGAGACCAGAGGAGCTTCATGGCACTGTCCCTGTTCCCGCAGGGCTGTGCATCCTGGGACGGGCTGCATGGCTGTGCAGGGCTGGCACTCAGTGGGGGAGAAAAGCCACATGGAGCAGTCAGGAAATTGAGTCTCTCCACATGCAATTACTGGCAAAGCACTGTAATCTACATTAACAACCATACCGTTCACTGTACTAATCACTGATATTCTTATGTTTAAATGCCTTGTGTTTTGCTGGGCTTTTAACACGCTGGAGAGGTATTTTCCCAAGGGTAAGGAAAGTGCTGGAGTTGAAAGCCTGAAAGCTTTGCTGGCACGAGGTGTGGTGACAAATCTGCTTGTACTGCCCAAGCTCCATCTCAGATTAATTGTATTGTGCATTTAATAATTGATTCCTGTACAGCTTCTTATTTTGCAAGCTTGTCCACACTGTGGGAGTTGTAGTGCCCAGTGGTGGGGGCAGCAGGGTAGCTGGAGGTGATTCCCCACTCCCCTGCTTATTTGCTGTGTAAGTTTCAGGAAGTCCTCTGATCCCAGTGCACTCCAGGATAGCTATTCCCGTGAAGGAATTTAGAGAAATCTGTTTGTGAAGGAGGGGAACTTGATGCTTCTTGGATAGTTAGTCTGTATGAAAGATCTGATTAATGTTGGTTGCACTTGTTCAACCACTTCCAGTTCTGTCAATGAAAAGTGCTGCTTGCCTGAAAATGTCCAAATCCTCTGTTTTAAACTCCACTTCTTTGGAGGTACCTGTTTGCAGGATCACACAGGCATCCTCTGTCTCAGCCTGCCAAGAAGGATAGCACTTGATGCACTGGATGAAGAGGTGTTGGGAGCACTCAGCCTGTTGGAGGGTCAGAAGTTGGAAGCAGCAGTTGGAAGCTGCCAACTTCTGGCAGTGCTGTCCTGCTAAGGACGTTGATTTCTTTCACTTGTGTCTTGCTGCCATGGCCTTGCTCACATCACTGTGATTCTTGTGCCTTGGAAACCTGCAGAGACATTGCACACTTGCTTCTAGTTTGGGGGGGCAGGTTATTTAAAAAAATTAAAAATAATTTTTAAAAAGCTAACTTTTTCACACTGCAAATCATAGGAAGCTGCCACTGGGTGGGGGG